TGTATGTGACGTCACAATGGAAATCAAAGTTGACTTGATCAATCGGCATGCACTTCAGCCAAACATCGTTTCACGGCGTATCAACTGGGAACTCATTCAAGGTCATGCATGTAAGATTTCCCTGTATCAAATGAACATCACCAGTACAATTTTGATTTCCAATAATAGATCACGTGCAATGATATTTACATCAATCGCTTGAGTAATTTTAGAATTAAACCTTTTCTGTTCCTTCTCCTTAGCTCTTCAAAAGTTCATAATTAACATCATATAGGGATTCTTATAACCAAAAGCTTTCATTCATTGAAAATAATAAACAGCAAAAGTGCCAATTTACGTATTAACCACCTCCCTCTCTAACTATACTAATTTTTTTATTACAACTTTCCAAACGGTTTGTGATTTGTTTAGCTTCAAGTTTTGATGCAACATTTTGCTAAATCTTTATTGCATAGAACCCATGTGCTTGTAATTCTCATTTTCCTCTACGATATATTCATAGTTCAATGTACTTGTAACAGAAAGTGCATACTGTTATTCCTTCAAATGTATGGAAATCTCGTAATCTCAACAGCTGACGTTGCACGTTTAAATTTATCCTGACGAACACACCTAACAAGAATCCTGAATCCGTAACTAATCAAATGCAGATTTAAATGTTAATGAAATACATGATTCTAAGGTTGATGATCGCTTAACACTTTAATAATCTTTACCCATATATAATGTTGCTTACCTTCTCGTCCCACATTTTCTCTGCCCCGGCCATGGATATCGACTCGAGAATTTCGTAAAAGTCTTCTTCGTTCATTGTTGTTTGTTCCGAAATACTGTCTCAACGATTGTCCGCGGTTTAAATACTCAAAAATCTGCATTATTATGTGTTTTTTTCGCGTTATTACGAGTTTAAAATCTTCGTTATTTCGTGTTTTTTCGCGTTATTACGAGTTTTAAATTTACGTTATTGCATGATTTTTCGCGTTATAACGAGTATTCAGTTTGCGTAATAACGCGTTTATTCGCATTATAACGCATTTTTGTCGCGTTGTTACGTAAAAAAACACGTTACTTTGAGTTTATTTACGTATTCACATGTTTATTTCGCGTTATTGCATGTTTCCACGTTTTATTTTTTCTGCTTTGACACCCTTAGGCTTTCGTAGTTATTAACATGGCATTGAAAAATAAATTTTACACCACTTGGTGTTAGAACTATACTCACTAAAGCTACTTTCCCGTCGAGATTAAGTGGAGATTGAAAATGTGTTCGGAATTGAAAAGATTTGTTATTTGGAAAATAATCTGCATTTGCATCGCTGTGAATCACCACGTAATGTGACATCTTAGACTTTTGCTGCTTCTTTGATATCTTTCTCCAACACCCACTGATTATATTTAGAGGGCCAACCGTCAAATTTTACAAGCCATTCTGACCTCTTCTTGTACGTTTACAAATCTTTTTCTCTATAAACCATAGAACATCTTCATTTTTGTCGACTTTTTGCAATTTAGACTGATAAAAATTACCCATGATGGGTTCGGTAAAGAAATCGACCAGTTGATATTGAGGTATGCCCTGTCTAAAAAATCGTTTTTGAATTTTAAATATTTTCGACGTCCATTTCTGTTGATAGGCTCGCGTAAACAATTGTTTTGTATGGGAAGTACGGACAAAGCTTCCAATTTTGAAACGAAATTTTGGTTTGTGTAGGATCTTTACTATTCTGGTTGTTTTTTTCTTTTTTAAATACATGTAGGAAAAAGATAGTTTCACATCTGCTGGGGCTATTCCTTTTAAAGATCGGTGAGGTGTTGCATTGTAATTTTTAACAAAATCTTGTAATTTGTCTATGTATCTATAAGTTCTATGTTTGGGTTGTGAAGTAGTGCTCGTCGTTATCTTTACACCATTTTTTTAACCAGCGATTATTAAATTCACTCCCTTTATCAGTTCGTTACCTTTTTGGAACCTTACCTATTGTAAATACTTTCTGAAATGCATTTAATATGTCTTTTCCTGTTTTTGTTTTGACAGGTTCAATCCAGAGAAATCGACTGAAGACGTCAATGACTACAAACAGAAATCTTGCTCCTGCATTCTGTTTGGAAAGTGATGTCATATCAGACAGATCAGCATCGTATTGTTCATATGAACCACTAACCTCGACTCTTGCTCGTTTTAAGGATTGTATAAACTATAGAAAGAAGCCATATCACAACCACGGTTTTAGTATTCACTCTCTGTCCTATTTTTCATAGAATCTGGAGGGTAAGGTAATACCATATGCTCGTTTGTACACTGCACAGAGAAGTTTTCATGCTTCCAATAGTTCAAATTTTTCCACACTTGAAACAGGTAATATTATCACTGATGCCTTCAAAAAAAACCATCACCAGCTAATTGATAAGGACTCTGACGTAGTTTAGTGTTCAACTGGGAAAATGTCATCAAACGGTCTGTGTAACTTGTCATATGCTGATTATAACGTTGACTATCTGCAAGTAAACCAAAATAATATCACTCAGTTTCACTGATACTTTTGATATTCATCAGTTTCACTGATACTCTTGATATTAATCAGTTTCACTGATACTCTTGATATTCATCAGTTTCACTGATACTCTTGATATTTTTACTGACAGGAAATTTCTCAAAAGATGTAACTTTTATCTTAAACCTTGTAGAAAGATAAAATCTAGTTAAGCATGCAAATGTTATGACATGGTATTGATGGCTTTTATAAATGACAGACCAATCATAATGCAATATGATTAGTTTTCCTGTAAAACTTGTCAATATCTTCATTTAAAACACCATAAATTGCCATATGATGACAGTTATATGTATACATTTGTTACACATGTTACTATCTAATGTGCTGTTTCTGGACAACAACTGAAAGTATCTGCTTCAAACAAAAAGCTATTTTGAGTTATGAAATTTGAATTTTGTAACTGAAATATTTGAAAGAAGTACTGAAAGGATCTGCTTCAAACCTGACTATACAGAGTACGAGTTTTAGACAACTATTATTAGGTATTGAAGAAAGCCATCAGTATAAAACCATTGATTTTCGTGAGTGATTTGTTTCTGTGCGACCCTGGATATCCTTAATCCAAGAATTCATATGTCTACAAACTCTTAAAATCAGTGTGAGAACATTTGTTAAACTACTCTTAATCCAAAAAAGTGATTTTTTTAAAAAGCATGAAAACTGAGTTACTAAAATATATGATTTTACTGCAGTTGGCATTTTGGATTTTGAAATGAAGTGTTTCCTGCTGTTTTTGAAACAAAAATCTTCTTGAAACTTCATAGATATGCTCGTTAATGAAGCTGGATTAAATAGATATGATATCGACTTGGTACAAATGTCAATTATATATGAAGTAAATGCATTGGATGCCAATCGAGAGATACATAGGCCTCTCATTCTTGAATGTCAATTCTACATTCAGACAACAATTAAACATTTTGTTCAAAGGGGATGGATTTTGACTGTCAAGTATTGTTACAACCACCATCATCACACTGTTTATAGTTAATCATTTGATTAAATCACTTGTAAAACACTTGAATCTCCTTTGTCCCTTGTTGTTTCAAACCAAGGAAGAGACTGATGAGGAAAACAAAATGGCCAATATAGGTGGCCATCTTGGATTTTTGACAGGTCAGAATTATTATCCTTATTTCTTAAGAAGTATGTTTATTTCATATATTTCCCCATAGTTCATTCAGTTGGATTTTAAGAGGTGAAAACAATATCATTAACAATTATCTCTGTTCGTCAATTTCATCTGTTTGATCAATTATTTCATGATCCATTCCCTTGGCAACATCAATTACAATAAAAGAACCTGAAAGGAAAGAAATAAGAGACCTGACAATAATATTTTTACTAGACAGACAAATAACACATTGTTGGCTTCCATTGCTAATAACATTTCCAGCTCAAATTGCACGAGAGGAACTAAAAGAAAAGTTTAAAATGTTTATTTTTTTAAAGATTATAGCCATATTGTATTTCAGATTGACCCAACAAAACAATATTGGTTTGGACCATCTCGGGACTAATTTGAGGCAAGTTTGAGTAGAATTCCACTGATGGACCCATTAAGTTCAGATTATAAAAATCATGTTACCAAATAGCAACAACATTGAAGATTTAAAACAGTGGAAAAACAATTCTTTATAAGGTTCCCTTTCTTACCCATCAATCATCAGCTCAGTCAATGAATTGGAACATGAGAAGAAGTTTAAAATGTGTTTTTGCTAGATTACAAAAACAAGAGGCCTTAACGGTCATCTGACATAAAATACAAGATTTCAAATTTTGAACTTGATAAGCAGTCGAAAATGTGTTTTCAAGATGGCGGCCATGTTGGATTTCTGACCAACCCAAAATTAACAAAACTTTGGTCAGGATCATGTCACGATCATTGTAGGTAAGTTTCAGCTCAATGAGACATGTAGAACTTGAGAAGAAGTTGAAAATGTTTACGATGTACGACTTACGACGCCAGACAAAAGGCGATCGCAACAGGTAATCAGACCCTTCGGTCAGATGACCTAAAAATAACACTTAGTTTAGATTGTTTCTGGCAAGTTTGAGCTGTATCCAACTGGAACTTTAGGGAAATCAAAATACTAACATGATAAAGTTTATTTATATTTAAAAGTGTGAGTAGAAGTAAATGCTAGTAACACCAGAATAACAAGGATGTCATCAAGAGATTTGTACAAATCATCTCTAGACCTTTGAATTTGTGGTTGCCAACCTCATGTATTAACACGAAAATAAATACCACTCGAAATATGAAATATAACTGATTTACAGAAAAAAAAAAAAATATATAAAAAATTCTTATAAAGAGGAAAGGAAGGACTGCCAAACACATCAATCTTATTTCAATATTCCCAGCAATGATAACATGAAACACGACCATATACTGTTACATTATTAATTTTAATAATTATGACATGACACAAATACAAAATACAGTAAAACTCATATTAACAATATCTTTCCTAGCTCCTTGAACATGTAAAGTTCCACAAACAACTTACCAAATAGTTGAGGTGTATAAATTATCATACATATACATATTTATGAACGATTTTAATTTTTTTTCGTAATGTTTGAATATGATTCCTCCCGACGCCCCCTGAGTTACAGGACTAACTCCCCCACTCTAAAGCCTTTACAAACTCCTCCTCAGAAAATGACAGCATCTTTGCAGCTTCTATATGCATCTGAAATAAAAACATCCAACCATTTAATTGAGATAAACATAAAATTTCATTTTTCAAATTCAAATACATGTTTAAATAGGCAATATACACCCGCAAATGTTTTGTTTTTTTCACAGACTTATCAAATATGGAGAGTTACATAACAGATACTGGGCATAAATTTATCAAAATTACTGAAACAAACCAGAACTGTCATTCCATGGATAAGTAATACCTCCTGCAGACACAAAGACATCTATATACCAAATTCGATCAAAAATAGATGACGATAATTTTCGGCATTCCCTGATGCCTCAATATACAAAATTAGGTACAAATTAGACCATATCTAAATTTCCACTAAGCTGTTTATATATCCTACAGTAGGTTTTAATCAGTTATACTATTCCACTATAGGCAAAAATCAAATCTGTTGAATGACAAAGAAATAAGGGTCATTTATAGTAAAACTTGTTTACAGATATCAGTTACCATGGCAACCAAAATATTGGGAACTATAATATATGTTAAATGGTACTTTTCAATGAAAGTGTGAACTGAATAGCAAGTTTGTGAAATGGTTACTGAAGGTGACATATCTCCATATTTTACAGGCCATTCAAACAAAATTTTAAAAAAAGATCTGTTGCAAACTGAGCGAATGCTTAGGTAGACAATATTGTGTTCATTTATTTTTCTATATAAAAGGGGGATAACTCTCTGGAAAGGAGATAACAATCCAAAATCACTTCAGGAGCATTTCTCTGTATTGTACTGGCCATGTTGTATACTAAATAAATGCATAGCTGGACATTGTTTGTCTATAAAGAGAATGGTTGAAAATGGGATTCCATTATTAACACCCCCTAACTTCAATGCAGGGGGTATAAAAATACAACTGTAAAATAAAATGTAGATCTGGTACTAATACTTCATAGAGACAAATTCTCAGAAATGGAAGGTAATAAACAAAGACTTAAAAAGGGAATTTTTTAAAGAATAAATACTTAATAATACTTAAAGAGTAAGTATATTAGAATTAAAAAAAAACAAAAGTACTGCAACTAGAATTTTTTTAAGTTTAAATAGATGTGTTTAAACATGTATAAAAACAAGTAGACAGAAAATTACCAAGAATGGTCAGTATCAAATATGGCACAAAGTAATTATCAGGTAGGGTCAGGTAAAAGTCTGTATACACAGGTATTATTATATATAGACAGGTACAAGTCTGTATAGACAGGTATTATCATATATAGACAGGTACAAGCCTGTATAGACAGGTACAAGTCTGTATAGACAGGTATTATCATATATAGACAGGTACAAGTCTGTATAGACAGGTATTATCAGTTATACACAGATACAAGTCTGTATAGACAGGTATTATTAGGTATTGACAGGTACAAGTCTGTATAGACAGGTATTATCATATATAGACATGTACAAGTCTGTATAGATAGGTATTATCATATATAGACAGGTACAATTCTGTATAGACAGGTATTATCATATATAGACAGGTACAAGTCTGTATAGACCAGAATTATCATATATAGACAGGTACAATTCTGTATAGACAGGTATTATCATATATAGACAGGTACAAGTCTGTATAGACAGGTATTATCAGGTATAGAGAGGTACAATTCTGTATAGACAGGTATTATCATATATAGACAGGTACAAGTCTGCATAGACAGGTATTATCATATATAGACAGGTACAAGTCTGTATAGATGGGGATTATCATATAAAGACAAGTACAAGTCTGTATAGACCAGAATTATCATATATAGGTAAGCACAAGTCTGTATAGACAGGTATTATCATATATAGCTAGGCACAAGTCTGTATAGACAGGTATTATCATATATAGACATGTACAAGTCTGTATAGACAGGTATTTTCAGGTAGGGAAAGGTACAAGTCTTTTTAGACAGGTATTATCAGAAATAAACAGGTACATGTCTGTATAGATCAGTATTATCAGATATAGACAGGTACAAGTCTGTATAGACAGGTATTATCATATATAGACAGGTACAAGTCTGTATAGACAGGTATTATCATATATAGACAGGTACAAGTCTGTATAGACAGGTATTATCAGGTATAGAGAGGTACAAGTCTGTATAGACCAGAATTATCATATATAGGTAAGCACAAGTCTGTATAGACAGGTGTTATCATATATAGCCAGGTACAAGTCTGTATAGACAGGTATTATCATATAGAGACATGTACAAATCTGTATAGACAGGTATTTTCAGGTAGGGAAAGGTACAAGTCTGTATAGACAGGTATTATCAGAAATAAACAAGTACATGTCTGTATAGATCAGTATTATCAGATATAGACAGGTACAAGTCTGTATAGACAGGTATCATCAGATATAGAGAGGTACAAGTCTGTATAGATAGGTATTATCATATATAGACAGGTACAAGTCTGTATAGATAGGTATTATCATATATAGACAGGTACAAGTCTGTATAGACAGGTATTATCATATATAGCCAGGTACAAGTCTGTATAGACAGGTATTATCATATATAGACATGTACAAGTCTGTATAGACAGGTATTTTCAGGTAGGGAAAGGTACAAGTCTGTATAGACAGGTATTATCAGAAATAAACAGGTACATGTCTGTATAGATCAGTATTATCAGATATAGACAGGTACAAGTCTGTATAGACAGGTATTATCATATATAGACAGGTACAAGCCTGTATAGACAGGTACAAGTCTGTATAGACAGGTATTATCATATATAGACAGGTACAAGTCTGTATAGACAGGTATTACCAGGTATGGACAAGTACAAGTCTGTACAGACAGGTATTATTAGGTATGGACAAGTACAAGTCTGTATAGACGGGTATTATTAGGTATGGACAAGTACAAGTCTGTATAGACAGGTATTATCAGAAATAAACAGGTACATGTCTGTATAGATCAGTATTATCAGATATAGACAGGTACAATTCTGTACAGACAGGTATTATTAGGTATAGGCAGGTACAAGTCTGTATAGACAGGTATTATCATATATAGACAGGTACAAGCCTGTATAGACAGGTACAAGTCTGTATAGACAGGTATTATCATATATAGATAGGTACAAGTCTGTATAGACAGGTATTACCAGGTATGGACAAGTACAAGTCTGTATAGACAGGTATTACCAGGTATGGACAGGTACAAGTCTGTATAGACAGGTATTATTAGGTATGGACAAGTACAAGTCTGTACAGACAGGTATTATCATATATAGACATGTACAAGTCTGTATAGACATATTATCAGTTATACACAGATACAAGTCTGTATAGACAGGTATTATTAGGTATGGACAAGTACAAGTCTGTATAGACAGGTATTATCATATATAGACATGTACAAGTCTGTATAGACAGGTATTATCAGTTATACACAGATACAAGTCTGTATAGACAGGTATTATTAGGTATGGACAAGTACAAGTCTGTATAGACAGGTATTATCATATATAGACAGGTACAAGTCTGTATAGACAGGTATTATTAGGTATACACAGATATAAGTCTGGATAGACAGGTATTATCAGGTAAGGACAGGTACAAGTCTGTAAAGACAGGTATTATAAGGTAAGGACAGGTACAAGTCTGTATAGACAGGTATTATAAGGTAAGGGCAGGTACAAGTCTGTATAGACAGGTATTATCAGGTACGGACTGGTATTATCAGGTATTGTATAAATAGGTTTCAAAATAGATTTTTAATACAGACGCCATATGCTGGAAAGGCCTTTTTGGGTCATTGCCATCACCAAAAATTAGGTGTAGGTTGGTATCATGTATCAGATAGTATGGTATTCTGAAACATTGTGAAATGAGTTTGGGTCAAGTTACCATAATGGTGAAATGACCCCCTCCCCCTTCTATGATAAAGTGAAGGCGCTTTATTTTTAATTGATGTTTCTTCGCTGAATTTTGGATCAGTTTACTTAATTATATTCCTCCATATATAATAAGAAAATAAATAACAATGGTTGGAAAATTTAGGGTGGGGGATTGGGGGAGGAGGGAATTCACTTTACCATAGCTATGGTAATTAACTTTTTTCACCAATTTATTTCTCTTCTAATTACCTCGATTCATCCTTTCAACACATAGATAAGAAATAAATATGTCGTGTGTAAGGGAAATTTAGGATGGGGCAGGGGGTATGCTTTACCATAGTCATGGTAAATTGAATTATTTCACTATTTTCTTGATAATTTTATTTCCTAATCACCCCGATTCATTCTTTTCATTTATTTTTTTTTTACCAAACATGATGTAGCTCGGGAGCATAAAATATGTACAAACCTTTTGTCTTTTAAGAATATCAATGAGTTTAAGTTGTTTTTTAAAGCCAGCCATGAGTTCATTTTTCTGTTTCTCTAGTCGCTTGTTAACTGATATTAACTGGTCTACTCTGTGTTTTTCCTGTTCTGAAGATTCCTGTAAAAGTAAGAAAAAATTCCTATTTCATCATCAACAAAAAAATTCACCATTATTTCTTTTGTTTATTTGATTTTCAATTTGTGTTTGGAAAATAAAATAGCAGATTTAAAAGGTAATTCTGTGTATGATTTAGTTAGCCAATCAGAGTCAGTGTTAGTTGTCTATCAGCCAATCAGAGTCAGTGTTAGTTGTCTATCAGCCAATCAGAGTCAGTGTTAGTTGTCTATCAGCCAATCAGAGTCAGTGTTAGTTGTCTATCAGCCAATCAGAGTCAGTGTTAGTTGTCTATCAGCCAATCAGAGTCAGTGTTAGTTGTCTACCAGCCAATCAGAGTCAGTGTTAGTTGTCTATCAGCCAATCAGTGTCAGTGTTAGCTATCTATCATAGCCAATATCATAAATGCATTGAAGTCTGACATTTCCAGCAATATCTGATGATCAATAAAGAAGTAGAACTTTATACAGGATACCAACTGGTTCCCTAACCAGGGGCATCATTAACTTACTTTAGATGAAGATTTCGACCTTAAAAGTTGCTCTTTCTGTTTCTCGATCTCCTCTAAAGCTCGATTGAGCCGAACTTCAGTGGCAGACTGGGTCGAGGATTGCTGCTTCTGACTTCTCTTTAATTGTTCAAGTTCCTGGAAACAAAAATGAAAATCCAACCATAAAAGATACTTTTTGCGAAAAACTCGGATGACACAAAGCATTTTTGGTCATTCATTTCTGGGGAGATAATATAATGATTTCAAACAAATGATTTCATTTCAATTGCTGGGTACATCACCCTATGAACAACAAGGGTCAATCGGGGCAGAATCTCATTGGTGTAGCTGTTGGCTACCTCACTGAGCAACATACTGGAGGCCCACCACATGTCATCCAGAGCAATTAGGGTAAAACTTCTAGCTAAGGGACACACCTGCAACAGCACAGACCAATCCGTTTCTCAGCTTCCTGAGAATCCCTAAAAGTCTTGGTAGTAAGCATAGAACCACAAACATTTTGTATTCCACGGAGGATACAAAGGTCAATGCCCTATCAACTGAGCTATCATTATTACCCCAATCCCTCCTTTTAAGTAACAGATAACCAACATATCCCCCAATCCCTCCTTGTAAGTAACAGATAACCAACATATCCCCCGTATCCCTCCTTTTAAGTAACAGATAACCAACATATCCCCCAATCCCTCCTTGTAATAACAGATCCCCCCAATCCCTCCTTTTAAGTAACAGATAACCAACATATCCCCCAATCCCTCCTTTTAAGTAACAGATAACCAACATATCCCCAAATCCCTCCTTGTAAGTAACAGATAATCAACATATCCCCCAATCCCTCCTTGTAACAGATAACCAATCCCCTGTATCATTCCTTTTAAGTAACTGATAACCAACATATCCCCCAATCCCTCCTTGTAAGTAACAGATAACCAACATATCCCCCCAATCCCTCCTTGTAAGTAACAGATAACCAACATATCCCCCAATCCCTCCTTGTAAGTAACAGATAACCAACATATCCCCCCAATCCCTCCTTGTAAGTAACAGATAACCAACATATCCCCCGTATCCCTCCTTGTAAGAAACAGATAACCAACATATCCCCCCAATCCCTCCTTGTAGGAAACAGATAACCAACATATCCCCCCGTATCCCTCCTTTTAAGTAATAGATAACCAACATATCCCCCCAATCCCTCCTTGTAAGTAACAGATAACCAACATATCCCCCCAATCCCTCCTTGTAAGTAATAGATAACCAACATATCCCCCAATCCCTCCTTGTAAGTAACAGATAACCAACATATCCCCCAATCCCTCCTTGTAAGTAACAGATAACCAACATAATCCCTCCTTGTAAGTAACAGATAACCAACATATCCCCCCAATCCCTCCTTGTAAGTAACAGATAACCAACATATCCCCCAATCCCTCCTTGTAAGTAACAGATAACCAACATATCCCCCCAATCCCTCCTTGTAAGTAACAGATAACCAACATATCCCCCATATCCCTCCTTTTAAGTAACAGATAACCAACATATCCCCCCAATCCCTCCTTGTAAGTAACAGATAACCAACATATCCTCCCAATCCCTCCTTTTAAGTAACAGATAACCAACATATCCCCCAATCCCTCCTTGTAAGTAACAGATAACCAACATATCCCCCAATCCCTCCTTGTAAGAAACAGATAACCAACATATCCCCCCAATCCCTCCTTGTAAGTAACAGATAACCAACATATCCCCCCAATCCTTCCTTGTAAGTAACAGATAACCAACATATCCCCCAATCCCTCCTTGTAAGTAACAGATAACCAACATATCCCCCCAATCCCTCCTTGTAAGTAACAGATAACCAACATATCCCCCCAATCCCTCCTTGTAAGAAACAGATAACCAACATATCCCCCCAATCCCTCCTTGTAAGTAACAGATAACCAACATATCCCCCAATCCCTCCTTGTAAGTAACAGATAACCAACATATCCCCCCAATCCCTCCTTGTAAGTAACAGATAACCAACATATCCCCCCAATCCCTCCTTGTAAGTAACAGATAACCAACATATCCCCCAATCCCTCCTTGTAAGTAACAGATAACCAACATATCCCCCCAATCCCTCCTTGTAAGAAACAGATAACCAACATATCCCCCGTATCCCTCCTTGTAAGTAACAGATAACCAACATACCAACATATAACCAACATATCCCCCAATCCCTCCTTGTAAGTAACAGATAACCAACATATCCCCCCAATCCCTCCTTGTAAGTAATAGATAACCAACATATCCCCAATCCCTCCTTGTAAGTAACAGATAACCAACATATCCCCCCGTATCCCTCCTTGTAAGTAACAGATAACCAACATATCCCCCAATCCCTCCTTGTAAGTAACAGATAACCAACATATCCCCCAATCCCTCCTTGTAAGTAACAGATAACCAACATATCCCCCGTATCCCTCCTTGTAAGTAACAGATAACCAACATATCCCCCAATCCCTCCTTTTAAGTAACAGATAACCAACATATCCCCAAATCCCTCCTTGTAAGTAACAGATAACCAACATATCCCCCAATCCCTCCTTGTAAGTAACAGATAACCAACATATCCCCCGTATCCCTCCTTTTAAGTAACAGATAACCAACATATCCCCCGTATCCCTCCTTTTAAGTAACAGATAACCAACAATCATAACTAGTAATGATACAGAAAACTGTTATATGGAGACTTCAACACTGAACTATGTCTATCACTACAGAAAAAACATTTTTCTAAGTGTGGGTTATCCCCCCTTAGCACAGCTCTATGATACTGACACCTATATACATATATGACTTAGATTGACCTTTAACCTGAGAATTGATAAAGTCACCCTCCAATAAAGGACAAGAAGTATGTTGAGACTAGTTATCATCCATTTCACAATTTTCTTTTAATCTTACTGATAAATTCTTTTCAGACGAAACTAGAAAATGTCTAGCAGGCAGAAGTTATCAAATGTGACCTTTGACCCTTTAACACTGACTGAGGGGCATCTTAATACATTATGGTGTTTAATTTGAGGTTATGATATTATGGGGTTAAAATAAATATCTGTTGAAAGATTCACAAGATTCGACATTGAATTGGAAAAGGATAGGATAGGAGGTGACACCATGCCACTTGACCCACAAGACGAACATGGGTAACATTATATGTCCTGCCATTAAAAAGGCAATAAACACCATCCAGCTGCCATGATATAATATCTCATTTGAACTCATTGTGAGAATATATGGCATTTGACAATGAGTACTTTAAGAATTCTGACCTTTCTGAGAGCCGCCAGCTGAGATTCAGAACTGTCTGATTTTGTCTTAGCATCCTCAGCCATCCTCTTGTACTTATCTATTTGAGTCTGCTGTGAGGCGTTTGTTCGGTGAAGTCTGCCTCGTTCATCCTCTAGTTCCTTGATGCGACTGCTGATACTGTTGTTTTCTTCATCCTGTGTTGTAGAGAAAGATAGCCATATTACTAGTATATTGAATATATTTAACAAGATCAATACTAATTAGCCTGTCATTTCCAAGCAAACTATTTTTTGTGGTATCTTTTTCCCTGGGGATGCAATGAACTCACAAAACCAGGTACCACGAAAATAAAAAGGAGAAATTGAATTTTTTAAGTAACATAATTTTCTTTCAAACTTGTTAAAGCAGAGAAGAGTGTGGCAAAAAAAATTTACAGTGTCATATTAAATTAATAGTTTTAAAAATTCAATATGGCATGAACAAAAGTTGAATATTCTATTCATCAGATAAGTAATACTCCTTAGAAAATAAAAGAAAACTTAATTTTCTTTTCTTATAGGACAGTTGAACATCAGATCTGGATATGGGGTTTTCTCAGTACAGTATATAGTGCTGTAACAGCAGTTTCTTATGACATCACAATAACATTATCAATTGTGTCCTCTGATATTGATGTAAAGCAGACTACTAATAGCATTAAAACTAAATGAAACACGAGGCCCATGGGCCTTAACGGTCATCTGACATAAAATACAAGATTTCAAATTTTGAACATGAGAAGAAGTCGAAAATGTGTTTTCAAGATGGTGGCCATGTTGGATTTCGGACCAACCCGAAATTAACAAACTTTGGCCAGGATCATGTCACGATCATTTCAACTAAGTTTCAGCTCAATGAGACATGTAGAACTTGAAAAGAAGTTGAAAATGTTTACGGCGGACGACGTACGTCAATGGACAAAAGGCAATCGAAATAGGTCATCACACCCTTCTCTCAGATGACGTAAAAACTGGCCTATAAGTTATACTGGTAAGCATCTGACAGCTTTAAGTGAGGGACACATTTATCTGTTTGGTATTTGTGTAAAAATGATAAAAAAATGTCTTGGAAAGTATGATTACCAAACTTTCTTTTGCGTACAATCTATTTCAACAATTTTGTCAATGGTCACAATTTCTGAAATGCTTATCACTGTGGTTTAAGATAGGCATATGTATCTAACAGTGCTTACAGTAGAACAACAAAATTTCACTAAATTATCGTAAAAAAAATGACAGGAAGCTATTTTTAATGGGTTATAACTTTTTACTACTTCCATGAAGGGATATAAACGTTAAAAAAAGGATTTCTGGCAAAATAAAATCAACAAAAAAGTCTCTTACACAAAAAATGAATCCTCACTGAAACAGGATTTTGGAAAAACCATGAAAATTTCAATCAAAGAAAAAAATATTTTGTAGTGTTCAGTCATGCAGTATATTTTAGATCAAATCTAGGAAAATATTTGTTTTGATAAGATTACATGAAAATTAGTTAAAACCAATCAACATGGTTACCTTCTTGTTACATTCCTGTGCCAGACGGTCTAGCTCCTCCTGCATCACTCGTAACTTGGCCTTCAGGAACCGTATAGTTGCCTCTATTCAATTAAATATGAGAAATATTTTATACATAATATTAGCAGCGAAGAGTTCCAGAGGGATAATGAAACCCCCTAACAGAAAAATCAAAAAGGATATTAACATACTTTATCAAAGATTCCATATCACACCCCCTGTCAGAATGCTACAGAGGGATATTGACACCCTCTATCAAAAACTACAGAGGGATATTGACACCCCTATCACAAATTACAGAGAGATATTGACACCCTCTATCAAAAACTACAGAGGGATATTGACACCCCTATCACAAATTACAGAGGGATATTGACACCCTCTATCAGAAACTATGGAGGGATATTGACACCCTCTATCAGAAACTATGGAGGGATATTGACACCCTCTATCAGAAACTATGGAGGGATATTGACACCCTCTATCAGAAACTACAGAGGGATATTGACACCTTCTATCAAAAACTACAGAGGGATATTGACACCCCTATCACAAATTACAGAGGGATATTGACACCCTCTATCAGAAACTACAGAGGGATATTGACATCCTCTATCAGAAACTACAGAGGGATATTGACACCCTCTATCAGAAACTACAAAGGGATATTGACACCCTCTATCAGAAACTATGGAGGGACACTCAGAAAACCAGAAATCAATTAATTTTATGAAGAAGGGCTTTTTGCTTGTGTTTTGAATGGTGACCTGTCATTATGTTATCAATATTTGCAAAAAAAAAATCAAACAAAAGAGAGATAGGTGAGGTTTTTTTTCTTCAAATATCCAATTTTCACTATCTTCGCTAAAATTACGTCATAAATTTCAGTCCAGAAAGATAACCTTCCCCTAATTAAAGTTGTGACATACAGGTCTTGTCTAATTTTGAAATAAAATTTGATTTAATTTAATAACCCAGACACATATTTGTCTAAAATGTTTAGATTCTTATTTCAAAACACATGGAAGACTTCTATCAGAGTTCTTTTAATAGTAGAATCTGGGTAAACAAACCTGAACCCATATCTGCTGCAGCCTGTGGAATGATATCATCATCCTCATTATCATCCTCGCTTGTGTCCAGTCGTTCTTCTATATTTGTGATGGTATCGAGGATTGTCTGTTTAGAGAATTCTTTACACTCTGTGATAAATGCTTCATCAGGTACAGCGACATTATCAGACACATTGGATTTAGCACTCCGACCCCGAGATCTACATATACCAACATTAAGAAAATGAAGAGATAGGTAAGTTCATTTTGTATATTTAGTCAAATTCTACAATTTCATATTTTGTCTTCAAAGAAGCCATTTATGAGAATTCCTTGTGGGCATGCTTTGACACTACAATCCCTATATGTAAACCTCTACAAGTAATTTCAGGACTGCTGAGACAGCCTAACTAAAATCTAGAGCCTTACATAATGCATGTTAATTACATTACATCTCGTGCTGGTACACATAGAGCCTTACATAATGCATGTTAATTACATTACATCTCGTACTGGTACTTTTAGAGCCTTACATAATGCATGTTAATTACATTACATCTCGTGCTGGTACACATAGAGCCTTACATAATGCATGTTAATTACATTACATCTCGTGCTGGTACACATAGAGCCTTACATAATGCATGTTAATTACATTACATCTCGTGCTGGTACACATAGAGCCTTACATAATGCATGTTAATTACATTACATCTCGTGCTGGTACATATAGAGCCTTACATAATGCATGTTAATTACATTACATCTCGTACTGGTACACATAGAGCCTTACATAATGCATGTTAATTACATTACATCTCGTACTGGTACACTTAGAGCCTTACATAATGCATGTTAATTACATTACATCTCGTGCTGGTACACATAGAGCCTTACATAATGCATGTTAATTCTGTTACATCTCGTGCTGGTACACTTAGAGCCTTACATAATGCATGTTAACTCTGTTACATCTCGTGCTGGTACACATAGAGCCTTACATAATGCATGTTAATTACATTACATCTCGTGCTGGTACACTTAGAGCCTTACATAATGCATGTTAATTCTGTTACATCTCGTACTGGTACACTTAGAGCCTTACATAATGCATGTTAATTACATTACATCTCGTGCTGGTACACATAGAGCCTTACATAATGCATGTTAATTACATTACATCTCGTGCTGGTACACTTAGAGCCTTACATAATGCATGTTAACTCTGTTACATCTCGTGCTGGTACACATAGAGCCTTACATAATGCATGTTAATTACATTACATCTCGTACTGGTACACATAGAGCCTTACATAATGCATGTTAATTACATTACATCTCGTGCTGGTACACTTAGAGCCTTACATAATGCATGTTAACTCTGTTACATCTCGTGCTGGTACACATAGAGCCTTACATAATGCATGTTAACTCTGTTACATCTCGTGCTGGTACACTTAGAGCCTTACATAATGCATGTTAACTCTGTTACATCTCGTGCTGGTACACTTAGAGCCTTACATAATGCATGTTAACTCTGTTACATCTCGTGCTGGTACACATAGAGCCTTACATAATGCATGTTAACTCTGTTACATCTCGTGCTGGTACACTTAGAGCCTTACATAATGCATGTTAATTACATTACATCTCGTGCTGGTACACTTAGAGCCTTACTTAATGCATGTTAATTCCATTACATCTCGTGCTGGTACACATAGAGCCTTACATAATGCATGTTAACTCTGTTACATCTCGTGCTGGTACACATAGAGCCTTACATAATGCATGTTAATTACATTACATCTCGTACTGGTACACATAGAGCCTTACATAATGCATGTTAATTACATTACATCTCGTGCTGGTACACTTAGAGCCTTACATAATGCATGTTAACTCTGTTACATCTCGTGCTGGTACACATAGAGCCTTACATAATGCATGTTAATTCTGTTACATCTCGTGCTGGTACACTTAGAGCCTTACATAATGCATGTTAATTACATTACATCTCGTGCTGGTACACATAGAGCCTTACATAATGCATGTTAACTCTGTTACATCTCGTGCTGGTACACTTAGAGCCTTACATAATGCATGTTAACTCTGTTACATCTCGTGCTGGTACACATAGAGCCTTACATAATGCATGTTAATTCTGTTACATCTCGTGCTGGTACACTTAGAGCCTTACATAATGCATGTTAATTACATTACATCTCGTGTTGGTACACTTAGAGCCTTACATAATGCATGTTAATTCCATTACATCTCGTGTTGGTACACATAGAGCCTTACATAATGCATGTTAACTCTGTTACATCTCGTGCTGGTACACTTAGAGCCTTACATAATGCATGTTAATTACATTACATCTCGTGTTGGTACACTTAGAGCCTTACATAATGCATGTTAATTCCATTACATCTCGTGTTGGTACACTTAGAGCCTTACATAATGCATGTTAACTCTGTTACATCTCGTGCTGGTACACTTAGAGCCTTACATAATGCATGTTAATTACATTACATCTCGTGCTGGTACACTTAGAGCCTTACATAATGCATGTTAATTCTGTTACATCTCGTGCTGGTACACATAGAGCCTTACATAATGCATGTTAATTCTGTTACATCTCGTGCTGGTACACATAGAGCCTTACATAATGCATGTTAATTCTGTTACATCTCGTACTGGTACACTTAGAGCCTTACATAATGCATGTTAATTCTGTTACATCTCGTGCTGGTACACTTAGAGCCTTACATAATGCATGTTAATTCCATTACATCTCGTGTTGGTACAGTTAGAGCCTTACATAATGCTTGTCAATTCCATTACATCTCATGTTGGTACACTTAGAGCCTTACATAGTGCATGTTAATTCTGTTACATCTCGTGCTGGTACACTTAGAGCCTTACATAGTGCATGTTAATTCTGTTACATCTCGTGTTGGTACACATAGAGCCTTACATAATGCATGTTAATTCTGTTACATCTCGTACTGGTACACATAGAGCCTTACATAATGCATGTTAATTCTGTTACATCTTGTGTTGGTACACTTAGAGCCTTACATAATGCATGTTAATTCCATTACATCTCGTAATGGTACACTACCCTTTTTTCATCCTGCCATTTTTTTCCGCCCAAATATAAGCCGCACTGGTATATAAGCCACACACCCGACTCAAAGGTGCTGCTTATAATCAGGAAAATACAGTTGTTTTTCAATTTATTTGTAAAAATTGAAAAAGAATATTAAATTACTGTATAGTTTTTAATATTTGTGAGGATTTAATTTCACTATATTTCCTGTCTGTCATAATAAATAGCCCCAATAATAATTTTTCTGTAATTAATGAAATTTTCAGAAAATGTATAAAGACTGAGCTAATTATTGCTGAAAGGGGCAATTTGCGAAATTGAATCCCTAACAGTAACCACAACAAGAACAAGCACAAAATATCAGCCATGCAAAATTTAACAACTATACAATATTTGAGTAATTATGACTGATGAGAGGAAGAAATTTTTATGATAAAAAAATCTGTATTTATACTGTTTCAAAAGAAAAAAAATCAGAGCAGAAAAAATAACACATACAGTTGATAAAATTTTCTCAATGAGTTATGTACCGGTAACAAAGTCTTCATCAAATCACTGTAAATTTATTGCTGGAGTTTAAAGATCAGTTTATTTGTTGGGTTTATTGCCCTGGGAACAGACAGGGTCATTTTCAAGTGGGTTCTCATTGAAGTACCTGGTGGTTACATCACTGAACAATATACAGGAGGCCCATCACATGCCATCCAGGGCAATTTGGGTAAAGTGTCTCAAACAAAGTGAAACAAACTGCCATCGGTAGGAAGTGTCATACAGCATACCTTAGATCTTCACCTCAGGTCACGTCGACCAACACTCTAACAAACACAGCAGCTTTTAAAGGGATATACTCATTCTGACTTCACATTATTTTTATATTTCTTTTCTCATGATCTTAACAAATTGAAATACCTATAAGAACATAAAGCCTTTTCAAGCCATTAAGTTACCGACAACAGGATTGTAAAATAAAAACACTAATACCGCATATTCCCTTTATGGAAATGACCCTAAAATATGTAGCTGTTATATTTTAAACATATATCTTGACAGTGCTGCAAATTTTAAAACCTTATTTTTAATGTCTTACCCATAATTTCTATAAGATCTTCCTTGTTGTTAATTAAATCCATAGATTTACAGGAAATGCTTAAACAAGATGGACACCAACAATTAATAAGGGGAAGCATAGGCCTACCTGGCAGAACCAGTTTTCTTTGTTTTTGATTGAGGTCTACTTTTTAAGCCTGAATTAGGTCTGCTCTGATTGGCTGAAATTGGTCTGTTTTGACTTGCTGAAGTTGAGGAACGATTCTGATTGGTCAGTTTGGAAACTGGTCTGGATTGTGGCTACAAGAAAAGTGGAGAATAATTAATACGATCATCTATTGATAAAGATTTCCTGTAAATGCAGAAAAAAAAATAAGATTACAAGTAAATAGATTAAACCAGCAATACACCAACAAGTCCTATACCTCTCGTTTACCAAACTGTTTTGTTGTGGAACTTGATGAAACAGTATGCCAGCACCTGTTTATTCCATGACAAACGAATGGAACATACCTGTACCGAATGTTGGATATATCATATGAGAAGTTCAAAATACAGAGTTTCTAAAAATTACCACATCTACTTATTAGCTCAATGTTCTAGGAACCAATAATCAAATATGTTCAATTTTAATCTATACTATCATAACATTTCCAGAAATATCTATGTACACCAACACTATTTTAAGTGGAAACTTTGAAAATTTCATATCTAGCCATTAGATTTGTGTGGGTGTGGTTTGTGTGGTTGTGGTTTGTATGTGTGTGGTTTGTGTGGTTGTGGTTTGTATGGGTGTGGTTTGTGTGGGTGTGTTTGTGGTTTGTATGGGTGTGGTTTGTATGGGTGTGTTTGTGTGGGTGTGGTTTGTATGGGTGTGTTTGTATGGGTGTGTTTGTATGGGTGTGTTTGTGGTTTGTATGGGTGTGGTTTGTATGGGTGTGTTTGTGTGGGTGTGGTTTGTATGGGTGTGTTTGTGTGGGTGTGGTTTGTATGGGTGTGTTTGTGTGGGTGTGGTTTGTGGGTGTGGTGTGTTTGTATGTGGTGTGTTTGTGTGGGTGTGTGTGGGTGTGTTGTGTGTGGTGTGGTTTGTGTGGGTGTGTTTGTGTGGGTGTGGTTTGTATGGGTGTGTTTGTGTGGGTGTGGTTTGTATGGGTGTGTTTGTATGGGTGTGTTTGTGGTTTGTATGGGTGTGTTTGTATGGGTGTGTTTGTGGTTTGTATGGGTGTGTTTGTGTGGGTGTGGTTTGTATGGGTGTGTTTGTGTGGGTGTGGTTTGTATGCGTTTGTGTGGGTGTGGGTATGGGTGTGTTTGTGTGGGTGTGTGTTGTGTTCTCTTAAAGGTTCTGATTGTCCATCTGTTTCAACTTTTAAATGAAAGCAACCTTATGTCTGTGCTGTGCTTACAGCATAACTGTAACAGTTTGTTTTGTTGTGTCTGTACAAACCAAGAGCACTTCAGGTTAGAGTTGGCCTTTGAAGTATCTATGTATTGAATAATACACAACACAGATGAAATACCATATGTTGGTTATTCCATTGAAAAACAATATTTCTGGGAAGGATTATTACCAGACATGAGCTTATTACCAATTTATCTACCGATGTTTGACATTTCTATGGCATAACCTTACCAAAGTTTGTTGTGTAATACATAACACATGGCCTGCCAAAGGTGTAGGTTAGGTATATTGTGATGTTTCGATGACTACACTGTCACCTTCCTCAGATGAATGACCAGAATGAATGTTATTTGAGTGTTAACACTGTAGGAGATATTAATGAATGACACATTTTTTCATTCTCCATAATAATATAAGATCATCTTTTCTAACTATAATGAATATTGCGTCACCTAAAAGTTTCTATCCAAACTGAAATATAACATATACCAACTTGACAAGTGCAGAAAACTCTCAAACATACCGTGGGTGATGGTCTGTCATCTATCTCTTCATCGTAGTCACTATAAACAGAAACAAGGAATTAATATAATAATATCAAAATAGATACTTCTAAGGCACAAGCAAAGCAATTTAATTGGTTTCAGGAGAAAATACTGACCAATCACAGGCTTCCATAGGAGTGACTCCCAACTTCAAAGTCATTACAATATACCGTTATGTGACCTCTACATTCGTTTGATGTACAACAAAGGATCAAACTAGTCTTTTTGTCTTGTCCACAAAGTGTTACACATGGAACCTTCAATTTTGCCATGACATATGTTCCAGTGATTAAGAGAACGAAAGCAATTGTTATCCCTGGAATATGTTTGAGGATGTTCTAAGACTCTTCTAAGGATATGGAGTAAAAACAATTAATTATTTGCATTTTTAACAACAAATATTGATTCTTTATTGAAGCTTTCATAGGAACATTTTTCAGAAAAACCTTTTGCAATCTGAATGAATGTGTGTAAACAGATATTCCATTCATACAAAGTTTCTACAGACATGCCACAAGGTGGGATGTTGTCATTGCTCTTCAAATCATTATCAAGTGGGTGGACTAAATAGGGTTTTTTATCATCATTGAGAAATGAAAAGAAACATCTTATGAATTGGAAATGTGTATTTTGTATGTAAACAATGAAAAATTAATTATTCTATTTTAAGTGATGAAACATAATGTATTAATTGTGAAATAAATCAAATATTCAAAATCAATGTGTTGAAAAAAATACACATAGGGATTTTAATTTCACTGATGTGATGGTCAGTTAGCTGTATCTAAATTAATGTACATGAATTTTCTTATAACTTTCTTATAACATCCATAAGTCATCCAAAGGCTAATGTATGACCAGTCCAGTGAATCTCATAATCTTTTAAAAAGTGTCCAAGCCAACAGCCAAGTAACAAATAACATATATTAGATATTCATTTCCATCTGAATCTTAAATATAAATAAACTTCTGTAACTTATTTCTTACCCCAGGAATTCTTCTGTGTTGATGTTATCAAGTAGGCTGGGATGAGAAAACACGGCATCTTGCTCTCTCTGGAGAAAAAACAAAGCAATCAATAAATACATTTACAATATAGATTTTGATATATTTACTATTCAGCAGAATCATTTTGAAGACAAGGGATGGGAAATCATCAATTTATTAACCAATGTTTTGATATATATTGATAGAGGAAAATGACTAGGAGTTCAGAACCTCCTAGCACAAGGAAAGTTGACTTATAGACCTTTCCATAAATTTTAATTACACAACATAGATCGTGTTATTCATTCTGATGAACAATTGTATATCTTAAATCACTGCTCGATATAGATGACCCACTGGTGATGTAATATGTTTAATTGAGGCAAAATATCAAAAGCCTTTATCTGAAACGGAGAGAATTTGAAAATACCAGAGAAAAAAATGTCTAATTGTAGTTTAACGATTAAAATTAGTATTGATTCCATTTTTCAATTTTTCTCACCAGTACTTCCTCTGCTTCTTTAACTAGGTTGGCTGTTTTGGCCTCCAGTTCAGCATTCAGTCTCCTTAAATACAAAAACTTGAATACAGAATAGGGGAGAGGATTTGACATCTTGTTTCTTTGCAGTGTTGTGTTAGATCTATTGTCTAGTCTTCAGTATCTTTAAGTATATAGGTGTATAGAATATGACTTGGGTAATTCTGCTTTACATTTAACTATATCTATTCATTGTGATTGCACCTCTACGTTAAAAACACCAATAATCTTTTATCAAAGTGAATTGATCAAAATTTCTGACTATAATATGAAATATTCAAGAGGTTTTAAGCAGAGCCTGCAAAATTAAGAAAATTGTATATTTCATTAAGGTCTTTAATTAGAACTACAGCAATAACTTTAAAAAAGTTATACTATTCTGTCTTTTTTTAATACAGAGTTATCTGCTCTTTTGAGCAGGTATTGATTGTTATGTCAGTTGTTTGTGAAAGTAACACTTTCACAAACAACTGACATAACAATCAAAAGAGCAGATAACTCTGCATAACAAAAAGATGAAATTACTGTTTTAAAATTTACACCTAAAAGTAGGATCACACTATAACATGTGACTTCTAAACTTACTTGCTTTTTTAACTGATGCAAACATTTTAATGATCAAGACAACATACACACAACATTAAAAAGTGTCCTCACACAGGAGAGCTCTCGTACTTACACACATCATTCACACTTCTCACACACACTGTTAGTCTGATATGTTCATATTTCCAACCAAATAGTGAATTTCAAGCATGTTCCTGACTAATTAACTACAATGTCAGCCATTACTTACTTATATTCTTCCTCTTTACTTAGTATGCTAGACCCGTTTCCGCCCGATGTCAGGTTGGTATTTTTCACACCACTGCCTGACCTCCGCCCTGACTTTGTCTACAGATGAAAAAATATGTAATATCTCAAGCAGCGATAAATTTTATACAAAAAATTGATATACAGGTAAACAATCACCCATGGGTTTGAAAAAAAAATTGCCCTCATACAAAGAATTCAATTTTCTACCAAATGTTACATTTGTTCCTGCTTAATGTCCATGCACATGTCATTTTCATTCTTTTTGGAAAAGTTTAAAAAGAGAGAAAATTAAAACTGCAACAGCAATCTCCCTGTATTAAGTTACTGTACATCAAAACCTATAAACGATGATAACCATACAAATGGTTTTGTTGACAATATTTTGGTTCCTTTCACCATTTCAGATTTATAAACCTCTCAAGGCCCTTTCAAGAACAAATAAGATTTCATCATGCAGTGATAAATTTGCATGCAAGTCCTAAGTCCTGAACTCATGAAATTTTATACATAAATACATAGTTTTATTCTGACAAGGTACAGAAAATATGAACAGGAATAACAATCGTTTGATAGTCAGCTTTGACAATTTGTATTAAAATAAAGTTCACAGCTTAATTTTTTCTTTAAAACAATACTTCTTTAGCTGGTTTTTCCAATGTTCATATAAATTACATTCAAACTGTTTAACTGTCGTTGCATTTACAACAATAAATGGGATTTTGGAAGGACACGTAGAATTCCTAGAAATAGTTATATTTTACATGGTAAGGTCCAAGGTTTTTAGCTATAAAGTTAATAAGGAGTCATGTAAATAAATTGTACATTGGTCACTGGTCATCATATCTATCACCAATGAATTTTCATCTGGGTACGTTCACACTAAATGATATCTTACAATTCCACTAAATTGTTGTTTTCTCTGTCTATATTCTAAAAACATTTATTTTACAACAATCTCACAACAGATATAATTTTATATCTGTAACTGGAAATGTGATCAAACCCATCCCCTGGCTTAAAACCCTCACTTCGTATGTGTTTGTCACCAAACTCAACTTCTCCAGTTCAAACTAAGTAAATGAACTAGTCTTCTCTACTTTGCACATGGTATGGACTACACAACCAAATTTAACAGGAATTAAGTTGTACCTCTGCAACACAGAGCTGAAACATTTAAGACATTTAGGCCTAACATTAATCAAAGCCGACCATGCAGAGAACATTTTCCTCTGTGCTACAACGTTCTACTGACCGAGAACAAGGAAATTGTCCTTAACCGAATCAAACATCAACTGATCATTAGAACAAGTGTGGGGGTAAAGAGGATGAGTGTGAGGAAAGTAGGGCGAAGTTATTTTAATGAAAGGCAATCCTTCTAATTCTACTTCTACTTCTAAATGATAATGATCAACTTCAACAAGTTGAAGATGTCATGAGAGAAGAAGATTTACCTTAAAGAAAAATAAAGAATATATGTATATAAATATTTCATTTTAAAGGTACAGTGAGCGGAGAGAAGTTTTGAAGGATTCAGTGGTAAGACAGGATGAGATGATATCTGATGGGATCTTATTCCACGCAGATATAGTAAGAGGGAAAAATGATTGTTGTTCTAGTCTGAGTTCTGCAGTGAGGAATTTGGAAGGATTTGTGATGGGCATGCCTTGATTGCCTGGACACTGGTATTAATCTATTGTAGGCTGATAGACAACTAGTTATTTACAACTTCAAACATTATGCAACAGCTTATTTCTCTGCGTCTATCAGCTAGGGGCGCCATTTTAGGTGGTTTATCATATCAGAGACGCTAGATGTTCTATGAGAATAGATGTTTTTATTTAGTGAATAACGAGCTGCCCTGCGTTGTACCATTTCTATCTTGTTGATGTTATCTTGGGTGTTTGGGTCTCAAACAGGACATGCATACTCTAGGGATGGAAAAACTAAAGATTTGTATGCCTGTGCCTTGATGTTGAACTTATTTTTAGATTATGATGGAGGAAGCCACGAGTAGAGTTTGCGTTGTTGGTAATGCTGTTGATATGGGAATCCCATTGTAGGTTAGACTGAATTGTAACACCCAGGTATTTTGCTTGGTCTACATGTTCCAGTGTATGCCCATGGAGTGTATAATTATGGAGAACTGGGTTTTTCGTCCCCCTATTTACAGACAACACTTTGTATTTACTTGTGTGGAAAGCCATTTTCCATGTATTTTCCCAGAGTGCCAGTTTGTCCAAGTCTTGCTGTAAACTTACAGCATCACTGCTTGACTTGACAACTAGTGTCTGTGAACAGAAGGATGGTAGCAGGGTGATGAAATAAAGAAATAAACTTGGTCCGAGGACACACCAGAATGGACATCAACGAAGCCAGACATCCCCCCCATCAACCACTACAGACTGTTTTCCACCAAGAAGGAAATTCTCAATCCAGTTAACAACATTTCCCTTTATACCATAATGTTTCAACATGTGGATAAGGAGGGAATGGCTGACCTTGTCAAAAGCCTTGGCGAAGTCCATAATAAGGATATCAGTCTGGTTGCCTTTGTCAAGGTTCTTATATATATGAATTCAATCAACTGACTTACATGATCGATATTTGAGAAAGCCATGTTGGAACGGATACAGGATGTTGTTTGTATCGGCATGATTCATGATGATATGTTCAATGACTTTACTACAAATACATGCCAGAGAAATTTTCAGGATTAGATTTCTGTCCCTTTTTGTATATTGGAGAAATATTTGCCAGTTTCCAATCAGTAGGGACTAGACCTGTAGACAAAGTCTTGCTAAATATTAGAGATAGGATGGTGGCTACTTCATTGGCAAGTTCTTTCAGGACTTTTGGTTTGATGTCATCTGGTCCTGCAGCCTTATACAGATTTAATCCTTTAATGAGTTTTATTATACCATTTACATTAATCTCAATATCAGGCATGATTGGAAATTGATGGTCAGGAGGCATGTTACATCTGGAAATAAACTGTTGATCATTGAAAGTTTCAGGTAAGGTAAAAACAGATTGAAACTGTGTGTTAAGCACTTGTGCTTTGCCAACAGGATTATGTAGGAGTTTGCCCTTTTGTTTCATTGGAGAGATGCCACAGTGATCCGATCGTTTGGCTTTAATATATGACCAGAAGCGTTTCATACCAGAGCACTGGTTATCAGAATTTAAGATATCAGGGTTTACTATATCATCAATATGCTGCCAATAACATGTACGTAGTTTCTTTAGGACAAGATGTTTTATGTCTTTAAATTTTGATTTTAACGAGGAATCCGCAGATTGTTTAGCTTTAACATAAAGCCTATCTCGTTTTCTTATGAGCTTTTTTATCTCAGGGGTAACCCATGGTAGGTTAGTTTTGGACTTTATGGTTTTCTGTGGAATATGTTCCTGGACAGTTTTCATAAGTTCACTTTTAGAATATTCCCACACTGAATTTGCATCCCACTCATTATTTGTTAACAGACAGTTATAAATATCCCCCAAATGTAATTTGATAGAATTCCAATCAGCATTTTTGTATAATGGGACTTTTCTTGGATGTTTGTAATCCACAACATTACACGATAACGTCGATACATAAGAAGCCCAGAATTCCATTAACAATACTCACAGAACTGTTTCGTCCTGAATCAGCCATAGTGGATGATGTGCTGAATCTTCTCAAGTCGGCTGGCGAGAAAATATGTGAAGCGATTGTGGAAGTGGTTGCGATCGTAAACAATATATGTCGTAAAATATTAGTGAGTTAAAAACCGTAAATATGATTATACTTAGGGATAATATATTTAATCGTCTTAATTAAAACAACATGCACTATTTTTCAAAGATTTTTAGGATAAAATTGTTATTTTTTTTCAAATTTTATTTTACGACAATGAGGACTTGCGCCAAATGACGCATGCGTAAATTGGATTATGTTTGTGTATTTCAGAAAATATTTTGACGAACATGGCGCCATGTGCTTTGTTAGTGTTTATATCACCTGGATTTTTTTCTCGAAACTAGTATGAATCAGCATTATATCGTGTCAGAAAATGTAAGATTTGATGTAGCGAACAACAATAAGGGAGGATCGCTTAAAAATGCCAGAATCGGACACTTGGCTGTTCTTCCAAACGATGTCAATCTCACTCTTGCTAATGTTTACATCGCTGAAAATGACAGATCTGAACTGATAAATGGAGATAGTCGTGGTGGAAGGGAGTCGCAGACCAAAGGTCGGTACAGTAATATCGAGGAGGGACTGGAGTCTTCCGTAAGGTAAGAACAAAAGTCAAAGTTTGAAAAGCAAGGCATTCGGGTGAAAATCGTTGCTTGAAAATTGACCCAATCAATATTGACAAAATTTACACTACAAAATTTAATAAAAATGTTAATTTTGGTAAAAGAGCAATCATGAATTTCCATAACGTTATATTAATTTATTTCGTTTTTGTTGTTGTCATCACGTTTTTTGGCTGGTTTTGTGTATATTTCGCTTAGAATTTATCAAAACATTGGTGTGACCTACTGCTGTCCTCATCGCCAAGTTTAATCGTGGAATCTGGGTCACGAGGTCATGTCTCTATCAGGCAATACTGGTAGCTTTAGGGGTAGGATTAATACGTCCTATAATAAGATTTTGTCATTTACCCGCTATCACTTGGCTACCTGTAGTTAGTTTAAGGAAAACGTTTTCTTGTATTTTTTTCATGAAAAATATGTGATATTAAATACTTTTTGTTTAAATTTTGGTGTCATCTGAAATCCATTTTGCCTCATACAATTTCCCTAGTTTGCAAAAGAGAAGTGAGATATTCTTTCTCATCATTATTGGCAAGTTAATAAATGTGTTAAATGTTTGGTGACATATTTCTTAAGGAAAATTGTTCCTTTTATTCAATTCAGTTATAAACAAGTGATAGATACAAATTCCATTATAAATCCTTGAGGCACATCTTTTCAATCTTATATATTTTTAATGGGAAAATGTGATGTAAAGAAATTTAGTAATATGTATGTACATAGTTTATATTGAGTAAGTTGTGCAATCAGAATAATTTTACTTTTCTGACCTCCTTTGGATTAAGGTCAAATCTGGTATTAAATGCTATAATGAATTGTGTATAGCAAATCAAAATGTTGCATTCAATATGGCTTAGAAATCAGAACATGAGATACTGATGGACGTTTCTAGTTTGCGAAAGCTAAAAACAAAATTTTTTCATGGCTTGAGGACAGAAAACAGCAAAATTGCATCTCATAATACTGATTGTATTGCATTTGCTTGATAAGGCATCTTGCCTGTTTCATATATTACACTTCTGATGTGTTGAAATATTATTCACTATGGAGGGAATAATGCACTATTTTTATGATTTACCAGAGATTGATCATAAATTTGCAGTGAATATAATCTGTGCAGAGAAAGAAGTATATCTTATCCAAAATCTGAAATTATTTGAGACTGAAGATAGGTGCTTTATAAATCAAACAGTAGACATTCAATTATTGACATTTACCACATGTTTCGCTCAAAAGAAGATTGAAATTTATTCATCATTCTTCTTTTTCATCCATCCATTTCAAAACATATGTTCATAATGTTATAAAAATTCATTGATATTTTTTAATGCTTCCCAAAAGTTTTCAGGAGAGCATAGTCACTGCAATGTCCATCTGTCTATTCTTTCGTGTTCGGAGAATAACTTTGCCCACAGTTAAGAAAGGATCAAGGAAGTAAAATTGGTGTATACATTGTTCTCATTAAGAGAAAGAGCAGTATCAGAATTTCAGGACCTGCAACACCAATATTACAGAATTGATGCTCTTTGTTACAATTTTATGTCAGAAGCATTCAAACTAGGATAATGAAACCTAGTGGAAACATTGAACATACTAAAACAAAGTGCTGTGGCAAATCAGGGCCCTTCATCCCTCAGTTACATATTTATTGCCATTTTTATGCCCCTGCCATTTATGGCCGGGGGCATATAGCGTTGCCCATGTCCATCTGTCCCGTCGCATCTCAAATCAGTATATATACCACCTAACAACTTCATTCGGACCTTTCACTGTTAATTCACATGGGGGGGGGGGGGGAGCATTCATGTCTTACAGACATTTTCTAGTTTAAAGATATATTGTCAAGTGCATTACTTTGCTTGCATTTTAGATAGGATAGTAAAACTTGGTGTATACATTGATCATACAAAAACATTGTGGAGTGTACCAATGTTATTGGCCCATAACCCCTTAATGAGAGTTGCCACAATCGTTAAAATGTTATGCCCAGAGCATTACTTTGTGTGCATTTAAACTGGGATATTGAAATGTGATGTATATATCAATCTTACAAAATCAAGGTGCAGTAGGGTAGCAAAGTCAGGGAAGCATTCATCACTTTTTTTACTGATACTCCTGTTTTTTTCTCTCTTTTAAGCAATGAAGCTAAAAACAGAATTAACAGGATTGTGGTATGTATTATTTTATTATCGACATAAATCAACTTGGTTAGAAATAATTATTTAAGTCACTCACCTAAATAAGGTATTTAAATATTACGAGTTGATAATGTTACTCATTTTCCAATGATTTAAATAATCCGATATATTTATGAATAATTCTAAAGATTTACAATTTCACTTGAAAATATGTACTATGGTTGGTTCTTTCTAATTTCTTCTGAAAGTAATTATTCATGTATTAGAAAGAAGGGATACATGCCATACCACATGTACATTGGGAACTCGGATAGATAAAGGATAGTGTATGTTAATACATTGTATTTGCTTATAGGGAGATGTGAAGAGCCTGTCTGATGTGGAAAAGTTACTACTGTACTTACGACTACCTACAGGCGACACCAGCAAGGATCTCCGACAGTATGCAGTCATAAGTCTCCTTTATATTAAAAATATTGTTATATTTATTTTTTGGAAGCAAGATTGATCAAATTCTTGTTGATTTTTTTCCCAGCTAAATGGCAGAAAATTGCAAGTGCTAAAAATGGAAATTATGGTCTGAATATGTACCTGTATAGAAAAATCTTGCATTCAAATTGGTTAACTCAAGTTCTATGTATTTTCAATTTCTAACAGAAACCATGTTTAAACACACTGAATAGGTTAATTTCTTATATATGTACCTAACCTACACCTGAATAAGGTAAACAGGAGATCAGGTTTTTGTCTGTTGTTGATTATATTTAAATGCATCTGTGATACTAACCCTTTTTTGTATCAAAATTAAACAAAGACTTGTAGATACAATCTAAATTTTCGAAACCCCTCTCCCAAATTTTCAAAAATATCCTCTCATTCTATTATTCTTGATTGATAAAATGAGGCAGACATTATTCAAATTTCGGGCTGTTAGTTGGATTTTAAGATGTAGTGAAGGTAATGGTATATTGATTCATTAATTTAAATTTTGAAAATAAACAAAAGCTAAGTTTAAAGTTTGCAATCTATTTATAATTTTAAAAAAGCAATCAAACAAGTTTCTGTATCGATCACATTACTTTCAGAACCCCAACATCATGTTTGCAAACACCAAATCGAACAGAACAGGCACAGGCGTATACCTGGATAAGGTCTCATCTAGAGGAGGATGTGGAGATCTGTCTCCCCAAACAGGAAGTCTATGATGATTACAGGTAGGACAGGTAGTATTGTAGAGATGTCTCCACAGACAGGAAGTCTTCTTTAATTCAAGGTAGGAGAGATGTTATTATAGATATCTGTCTCCACAGACAGGAAGTGGGTATGTGTTGGGAAACAAGAAATCTAAGCTGGTATAGGACAGGCTTTGTTGTATTTAGGTAGAAATGTTATGATGTGAAAGGAAGTGGATAGAGGGGCAGAACAATAAGATATATCTTAACACTGGTAGGTATAATTCTAATAAAGTCAGAAAATTTTCTGTCAGTGAAAGTTGATTGTATCTTTACAGGGAATCAACGTTATTGATGTTACAAAGCTTGTTCTTGGTTTTCTTTCAGAGTGTATTGTGAGAACCATGGTATCCGTCCGCTGAGTACCGCTGACTTTGGCAAGTTGATGAAATGTGTGTTCCCAAATGTGAAACCCCGACGTCTTGGCCAGCGTGGACAGTCCAGATATCCTTTTATGACTGTTATTTCACACTTTCCATACTTTTGATGTGTGTGAAATTGCCACCATATACTCTTCCGACAATTTATAGAGCACATGGTGAGACTGCGTCAATTACAGAATGATTTACAGCTGTGTTAGTTGTGTCAGCATTATTTTCTGGTATTTATTATATGAATTAAGGAGGAATATTTGTAATATCTGTAAGAAAATACAACAAAAATGAGAATGAGAGAAACTGAAAGTAAGACTGTTTATCCACTCACTGTACCACTTAATGTAAGTTATCACTCAATTGCCCCCTTGATCAAAACCAATGTAAGTTATCACTCAATTGCCCCTCGATCAAAACCAATGTAAGTTATCACTCAATTGCCCCTCGATCAAAACCAATGTAAGTTATCACTCAATTGCCCCTCGATCAAAACCAATGTAAGTTATCACTCAATTGCCCCTCGATCAAAACCAATGTAAGTTATCACTCAATTGCCCCTCGATCATAACCAATGTAAGTTATCACTCAATTGCCCCTCGATCAAAACCAATGTAAGTTATCACTCAATTGCCCCTCGATCAAAACCAATGTAAGTTATCACTCAATTGCCCCTCGATCAAAACCAATGTAAGTTATCACTCAATTGCCCCTCGATCAAAACCAATGTAAGTTATCACTCAATTGCCCCTCGATCAAAACCAATGTTAGTTATCACTCAATTGCCCCTCGATCAAAACCAATGTAAGTTATCACTCAATTGCCCCTCGATCAAAACCAATGTAAGTTATCACTCAATTGCCCCTCCATCAAAACCAATGTTAGTTATCACTCAATTGCCCCTCGATCAAAACCAATGTAAGTTATCACTCAATTGCCCCTCGATCATAACCAATATAAGTTATCACTCAATTGCCCCCTTGATCATAACCAATATAAGTTATCACTCAATTGCCCCCTTGATCATAACCAATATAAGTTATCACTCAATTGCCCCTCGATCAAAACCAATGTAAGTTATCACTCAATTGCCCCTCGATCAAAACCAATGTAAGTTATCACTCAATTTGCTCTTGATCAAAACCAATGTAAGTTATCACTCAATTGCCCCTGGATCAAAACCAATGTAAGTTATCACTCAATTGCCCCTCGATCAAAACCAATGTAAGTTATCACTTAATTGCCCCCTTGATCAAAACCAATGTAAGTTATCACTCAATTGCCCCCTTGATCATAACCAATATAAGTTATCACTCAATTGCCCCTCGATCAAAACCAATGTAAGTTATCACTCAATTGCCCCTCGATCAAAACCAATGTAAGTTATCACTCAATTGGCTCTTGATCAAAACCAATGTAAGTTATCACTCAATTGCCCCTTGATCAAAACCAATGTAAGTTATCACTCAATTGCCCCTCGATCAAAACCAATGTAAGTTATCACTCAATTGCCCCTGGATCAAAACCAATGTAAGTTATCACTCAATTGCCCCTCGATCAAAACCAATGTAAGTTATCACTTAATTGCCCCCTTGATCAAAACCAATGTAAGTTATCACTCAATTGCCCCTCGATCAAAACCAATGTAAGTTATCACTCAATTGCCCCCTTGATCAAAACCAATGTAAGTTATCACTCAATTGCCCCCTTGATCAAAACCAATGTAAGTTATCACTCAATTGCCCCTCGATCAAAACCAATGTAAGTTATCACTTAATTGCCCCCTTGATCAAAACCAATGTAAGTTATCACTCAATTGCCCCTCGATCAAAACCAATGTAAGTTATCACTCAATTGCCCCCTTGATCAAAACCAATGTAAGTTATCACTCAATTGCCCCTCGATCAAAACCAATGTAAGTTATCACTTAATTGCCCCCTTGATCAAAACCAATGTAAGTTATCACTCAATTGCCCCTCGATCAAAACCAATGTAAGTTATCACTCAATTGCCCCCTTGATCAAAACCAATGTAAGTTATCACTCAATTGCCCCCTTGATCTAAACCAATGTAAGTTATCACTCAATTGCCCCTTGATCAAAACCAATGTAAGTTATCACTTAATTGCCCCCTTGATCAAAACCAATGTAAGTTATCACTCAATTGCCCCTCGATCAAAACCAATGTAAGTTATCACTCAATTGCCCCCTTGATCAAAACCAATGTAAGTTATCACTCAATTGCCCCTCGATCAAAACCAATGTAAGTTATCACTCAATTGCCCCTCGATCAAAACCAATCTTAATATAGTCTTGGTTAACTCTGTTGATAATTTAAGCATAACAACAAATTCAAGTAAGTGATGTCATATTTACTAATAAGAACAAGGTTCATTAAGGTAAGATTAACAGGTGCAAAACACTTCATATCGTATATATTAGAAAGTTATGATGAGCGTTAATTTTTTTCCATAGTTTTTATCAACATACATCTCTCAAAATTCTATGTGGTGAGTTTATCTGTCAGCTACAAACATCTGACACAAAAATTGTGATATTAGGAACAAGCCCTAGAATATCAAATCAAAAGTGACCTGGATGTTTCTATCCAAAAATGGAATATTTGCAATAGGAAAATTGAAATCATTATACTTACCATACTGCTTGCTTGAAAGCTGTGCCTGTTCTAGATTTCAGTTATTCATAGAAAGACAAAACAGCTGTTATGATGCTAATGATAAACAATGTAAAATTTATTGTTTGGCTCTACTGTATCTAATTTGGAATTTAAGGGGTAAGAGGCAATCACAACAAGCTCAGGATTCTGAAATTGTTATTTCAGGTCCTGAAGAAGCCCATGTGTTATGGGTGAAACCGGAAGACGAAGAATGATAAATAACAATTTTAGAATCCGGAGTTTGTTGTGATTGCTTCTTATGTCTTAATTCCTTACTACTCTTCAATGGCCCTGCATACCTGGAGGTATCCAAGATAGGGACCACGGAACCTACTTAAACTTTACTAGAAGTAGGGCATTGGCTCTACACCCTTTCAGATAATTTTGAATTCGTATTAATAGGTAGTCTTCTAGGTTGTATTTTTGATATGTTGTTTTCAACACTGTCTTTGCATTTTTTATGCGTAATTTTTTTACATTTTCCATTTAATACTTATCCTTAACACAACTTACATACTGTTATGGAGGACTGAGGAAGAAGTTAGACATTGAGGCTCCAAACCTACCAGACCTAGAGATCAGTCCTCACAAACAGCAGGTTCGTTTTGTTGTTAAACTTTCCCTTATCTGTAAGGGATAATTAATGCAAATCACTTATATTTTGTCTGGGATGTATTTTTGCAGCAATATACAAGGAGAGTCGGATGCAAATTTGAATCCCTCGCAATTATCTGTACAAAAATAACTCTGGTTGGTATCCATTTTGGCTTGGTTACCAACATCAGAGTCTCGCAGAGTCTGTGTCACTGATAGCCCAGGATTGACAAATTTTAAAAGTGATTTCTAATCAATGTTCATGAAATAATGTATTCAGAAATATGTCTGAAGTCTGCAAAATAACGTATCTGCAAAATCTTAGCGATTTACAGGTGTTTTTTTTTTTATTTCAAAGATATGTATACCACTATGTATGATTCAATGGTCTGATCCCTGTTTTCTTATAAAGTTTAGTTGACCATCATTTAACAAGATTACTTATTCATATTCTTGAAAATCACAAAGTGATTTCAAATGTGAGTTTATTCATTATAAACATTTTTCCAAAAATTGAGGGGTGTAAATCCATGTAATAAATTTATATTATATTTCATTTGGTTTCACACCAAATAGACAACGTTAATTTAGGTAAGATAACAATTTTCTCAAGAACCAAAAGAAACTATGTTGTAGGGAATTTGATAATGACATTTGAGAAAATCTTGAAGTTGTCATGGTTAAATAAATGTTTACTTTTCTTACCGGAGTTTCATTTACACTAACTACTTGTGACAATCTCTCTCATTTTACATTTCTCTGGAAATAAAGGATCTTAGTAATGTTTAACAAAAAGATAAGGATATCATCTGCTTTGATATAAAATTTTGCTAGTATTGTTTTAGAGTGTGGTGTTCATGTAGTGATTTGAACTTTGGGTTACAAATTATGATATTACGCTCGGCTTATACCACTACAAACACAAATCTATTACATTGATATATTGTAGGATACAGGATCGGAGGATGACGAGTTGTACTCAGCTTCTTGTCAGCTGGTTTGTGAGTGGGCCCAGAAACTCCTGGAACAGAACTTCCCAAGTGTACGGGAACTGGCCGAGCATTTGGTCAGTCATCTGTATGTCAACAGCAAGTCTGTGTCAGCGTTCACTGTTGTTGCCGGAATGCAGGACTCGGGAATACAGAATATGAAAGGTAGGGGAAGATAAATTACTATATCTATACAGCATTAACCCTGTACCTGGATATAAGCCCATGAATATGTAAGCACTTGATTTCATTGTCCTTAATTCATGGTTAATATGTTTGGTAGACTTGACCTAACACTGGATAAATGTAATTGATCAATTTTGAAATAATTTCCAATATGGAATTAGTAGTGTCCTTCAACTGATTATGACCATTTCACAAAATATGTTAATTAGTTTTTATGACTGATATGAGGTGACCATCTTTTCTTTCTCAAACATTTACTCAATAAAATGAAATAATGAACTAAATTCTATGTAAATTATGTGTGATTTCATGTTTTTCATAAAACATTAAGATTTAAACTCCCTTCGGAAGACAAGATAAACTTGATTTTGTTAATTTGGAATTGAGTGTGCCTACATAAAACATGAAAATATTTTGAATACATACTATTGATTGTCACACCTCCTTTAACTATCAAAAGAAATCCAATTTTAACAGTTTCAGCAAAATTCTGAAAAATATTTGAATGTAAATTGTTTTAACAAGATTTTTTAAACTTACCAATAAAGGGTAGACTGTTAATGAAATGATGAATTCCAAAATTTAAGATTAAAATTTAAATCAGAACTTTCTTTGACTAACCATGTTACTGTTTATTTTTAGTGTCGTCCATGTTTTCCAACACCACAGGAGGAGATAGACATCGAGAGACACAACTACAGCTTCAAAGGAAACTCCATGAACGAGAACAGCTACGTGAACACAAGAAAAAGCTCCAGTTGCAGAAAGAGGAAAATGAGCAAAAAGCAAAAGAGGCACAGGATCGCATGACTCCATCGCTTACCTCCCCTACACTGCTCAGGGCACTCACTTCTCCTGCCAGGAGAATCTTTGACAGGAAAGAAGATGAACCCAGTTTGTCACGCAGTAAATCTGTGTTGAGCGGTAACACAGGAAAGGCAAAACAAACCGTTGTGGAGTCTCTGAGAAGCAAATCATCGCTAGCTAAGGAGAAAATGTCCCAGAAGCAGGACATGGATGTTGATGGGTCAAGGTCACCACCCAAATGTCAAGGTCAAATAAACTGCCAAATAGAGGCAATGGATACAAGTCATGATGTAGATACACAAAGTCATCTTATTGTTACAAACCCAGATAAGGCAAAAGAGCAGACTGAAAAAAAGAAGACTTTCACAAAGATGAAGTCCTCCGTAAATAATACTGGAAAGATTTCGGGGGAAGGCTGGAATGTTACTTCAATGGAAAGAGTTCATTCAGCTCAACAAGTGAGAGACAGTTGGAACATTGGAGAGGAATCACCAGGCAGAGCATTCCACACAATAATGAAACCTTCTGCTGTGTCTCGGCATCAAGCTCCTAAGTCCGAAAGGGATATAAAGATAGTTAAAATTGTAAGCAGGACGGAAGAATCTAGGGAAACGAGTCTGTCACCAGATGTTGTTGAAGATAAGGTCACGGAAAGCCAGATAGATAGCTCACAGGAAATAGATCCAAAACTTGAAGCCATGGAAACTGTGGAGATTCTTGGGAATTCTGAAGAGTGTCTTCATTTGTCAGCATCTCCATCTGTCTCGTCATCAATGTCTTCATCTGTATCATCTAGAAGTGCGTTTGTGCCTTTTTCGCAAATGGGTACGCGTAAAGAAAGTGACATGCTCTCTATGCGAATTCCGTCCTCCACATCAAGTCAGATTAATTCTGTTGTAACGGAGTCTGATGTTGATCCACAAACCAGTGTCTCAGATAATCATCAAAGGTCATCAAGATCGATACAATCAAATACATCATCTAACATACCACAAATTCCGTCCATTCCTTCCCACGAATCTCAGAACATTGCCTCTGTAGATGTCATTGTGAAGCCTCCTGGAAGTTTAAGTTTAAATCTAAATTCTCCAGGAAGCAGCAACGTTCCGTATTCTACATGTACGACAGTTGGAATCCTAGGTGCTATGTCTACTACATCAGATGTTCCAACCTCACAAGCATTACCACAAACATCTCCGTCAACACCAAAAAAGACCAAATCACGATTTACTCCAATCCGTCCAAAGGCTTCTCCTTCGAAAACTGTCTCGAATATACTCAAGGAAAAAAGTGCAGAGAATTCCATTTATAACAAGTCAAAACCTGTTGCCACACTTCTCAAAGAAAAACGTGCTCGAGAAGCAGAAGTTTTGGCACAAACTCATATGAGTGGTGGTGTAACTCTCTCACCAGGAGGAATTAATCAGGCGAACTCGGGTGTTCAGATTCAAAACATTCAAAACATCACTGCATCAACATTACCAAAATCATTAGAGTTAAATAAACCAGGAGAATTTTTCATCATTCTGAATCCCACTCTCCCTGCTACACCAATCAGTAAAATGTCTGTGGTAAGTCCTGTCTCTACTGTCACTCAATCATTTCTATCAAACTCAAGTACCGTGACAACCAGTTCCAAAGGAAAACCAGAAACAAATAAAAGTCAGAGATCAGCTAATTCAAGTCGTAGTCGTACAAACTCTTCATCTGAGTCTGAAATTGAAAGCATCTTCCCGTTTGGCAAAGAGAGTGCTGGTACAATATCTGATTCAGCTGAGGAAAGTTTCACAGATTTTAATATGGATGAAACTCCTTCAAAATTGGTAAAAATTGATGGTGACCAAGGTGTTTCATCGCGGCCCGGGAGCCGTTGTTCTGTTGACAGAGAAACACCATCATTTGGACGGAAACGGAAATTCTACACCTGTGGAAATGTTTCTTACCATAAAAGGATAAATTCAACTGATGATACAGATGACGAAGTTGTCATTATTGAACAAAAAGAGGGTTGGAAGGACTCGAGACGGGCCATGTCTTGTTCATTGGACCAACAAGAAAAAGACGAGACCATATCCCCTGTTCACAAAGAAAACCTCAATAACACTATAGACAATCTACATTGTCCCGATATTTCAATTCTTGAAATTGATGCGCTGTCAGATAGCGGATTGGATTCCGAGCAACTTCAGCTCTTGTCGGTTTCTAGTACACCAAAATCAGTAACTCAGACACAATCAGCTGCAGTAGGAGTCAATTCCCGATCGCTACAACGACGAGAATTACTGAAGCAGAAAGAGATGCTTGATGAGCGTATGAGGTCTTACTGGAACAAGGAGAGTAGAGTACACATTTATGACAAGTCTGACGTTGTCAATATGGAAGTCCATAGTGAACTTCCTCAGGATGTAGCAGACTTTATCACCGATGCCCTGACTGGTATTGCCAACACCAATATAAATGAACATGAGGATACCCAGAAAATAGGAAACCGAGAAAACGAGATAGAACATTCCAGAATGCAGACTTTGAGTCGGGAACTGAAGTGTAATGGTCCAGTTGTTACCAGTCAAAGCTTCATTCAACCCTCAGCCTCTTCCCCTTTAACAACTGTGTCTATCAAGTCACAGAGGAAAAAGGATTCTGTTCAGGACACTAGTCTAGAAAAAGGACAGAGCCAGGAGGTTTCAACAAAAAATTCTACTATGAACAATTTTGTGAGTCCACAAAGACCAGTACGTCGCCAAAGAACGCCATCTATTGAAAGACTTCTTGGACCAACTGTCACCTCAGATCGACATGTACAGCTGCAGTCTCCTCTAGACAGGGGACCTACCTGTCACAACGAGAGGGGCAATCAGTATGTCACAGAGCAAGGGAAAGCTGTAACACCAACCAGCTTTGCTAGTCCTGTTCATCCAGTAATACAAAGGAAAAGAGAATTATCAGTGGACCGTATAGCCAGCAACCAGACACCATTTTCTGATGCTGGATATGGTAGTATTGGAGCAAGTCCTATTTTAACATCTACTCCAGTTTCCGGTCTGGGAGGTGTCTGTGATACGGCAATGAATTCAACTTCCAGTGCTGGATTGCTTATGAGTCGGCCCGATTCAGTTCAGAGCCTAGCAAGTGACACTGTCATGCAGAGCCCAGTGCCCCCATTCTCACCACGTAATTACACATCAACACCACTTTCAGTTCGTTCACCATGTTCCACACAAAACAGTAATCCTGTACAAAGTCCCCTTGGAATGGGCCCTCCTACCCGTGCCTTTATGCCAATCCAAAGTTCCTCTACGCAGAAACTAGAGACCACTGTCACACTGATAAAACCGACTGTAACCATTGCTAGTGGTAATGGGGGTGAAGGGAAAGAAATCCACAAAGATCTGATCGGGATAGGAAGTATTCAACCAGAAGTACACCAACAGAACCGACCTCCACCCTCTTACAAAGCAGCTGTACAATCACTCACATACTTACAGGGTGATAGCCCTGAGAATTCTGGTGCATTCAACCGTCCACCCAGTGCACCAGTTGATTTTCCAATGGCTGAGGTGGTCTCGGCTACTAAACATCAATCTGTTATTGGCATGATGGGAAAAAGTAATGACGTTCTTCAAGACATAAATCTGCAGCTGAATGCAGGGAATGATTCAGGACAGCAAGATAAAAATATTGCAGAAGTCTACCCCTGTTCATTCCAGCTGGCCCTGATGTCACACAAGTCGCGGGAAGACGGCAAGGAAGCTGCAACAGGACCAACATTGTATAAGTCAGGACAGAAGAGTACTAAGACTAACTCATCTGGAACACGCATGTTCAGTTCCTCGGAGTCTCATTCATTAGATAGTCAGAGTACTGGTAGAGGCGCAGAACCAATGGTTTTAGGAAATTCACCGTCTCATATTTTTGAAGGACATAAAAGTGATCATCTGGGACAGTCACCTATACAACAATCACAGGGACCAAATGGTCAATATCTTGAGGCAATGATTTTGGGAAGGTCTACTTCTCATCATTCTAATGCAGATTGTCACAGAAGGGGCCAATTTGAAACTAGTTCTGTACAAGGCATGTCCTCCAAGGTTTACAAGCAGTCCAATTCCCAAAAATCTGACCATTCTAGCCGTGACGTATTCAGCCCAGAAATCCATGGCAGAGATTTCGTGACAGGAGGTGTAGCTGTACAGAATTCAAAAGAAAAGGACATTGAAAGTATCTTAAACATCCTAAAAGATCCGAACCAGCACCCTAAACAAGCAGAGAAAAGTAGACATGGAGGTATTGTCAAGAAAGTTCAACCAGTGCTGCCTAATGCCAACTATAAGGGCAATGCTCCCAATGTGAACTTGACAAACCCTCGCATTTCTGAAAAAATGCGTCCATATGTTATGGATAAAGTGATGACCTCAGTCATGGACGACATAGAGTTCTCCGCACGAAGGAATTTGATGCCGGATCTTATGGAGGAACCAAGTACTGAAATCAACGAAGAGGAATTAATGTCAACACTTGAAGATTTACGATCTGTTGATGAAAAATATTTTGTCCAGGATGATTTTAATTCAAAAAGACTTTGAGCTGATAGGAATGCTTTGTGAGCATATGATTAAATTTTTTCTTATATTTAAACAAAATTTTGGTAATTTATGTAAATTTAGAGATACTAAATTTTCCATCTGTAGTTAAAGTTTTCGTTAAGTTTACCATCAATAAGATGCATGTATAGATGGTTGATTTCAGCTGTGGCATGAGTTTGTAACTTTTGCTATTTAAGTGTTTGAAAGTTATTTCTGTTGTATACAAAACCATAATATTAATCAAGACGTTTGCAATGGTATTTATTGTGTGTAAAATATCAACTTTTTTTTTTTAATCTTCAGCTTTTAGGTAAGAAAGATAATTATCCTGATGATCATTGTTAAGGTTTTCATGACAATAGTAAAACTACACCATAAGTTTGAGTAGAATTTTGATATTTGTACATGTATATGCAATTAATTATGAATGATCAATTTATATTTTGCTGTTTAATTTTCTAACTTATGAGCAGGGTATATACAGACAACATCTCTTTTTGATCATACCAAAATTACCAATTTTTGACAGTGGAAAAACACACTAGCAAACTTACATATTTTAATATATAATTTTTTTCATATTTTTTAATTCTGGCCCTCAGAAAGCATCATTTTAATTAGCATTTTTGATCTAATTTAAATTTACGCAAGTCATGTTATTACCATGCAATCTTTTAACTTTTGGAGTCTTCTGTCACCTTTACACATTTGTAGAATGCTTAAGGTGGAATTCAAGAAAAATTGTCATTAGATGTATATTTCAAAAGAATGTTGGTTGGATACAGGTTTCTGTTTCCGTGACTTCTCTCACCATTGTCTCACGACAAATGTCATTGTCCCGGTGACATCATCACAAGAAGGTAACATACCACCAACGTAGATTTGTCTTTTCATAGGGTCATAGGGTTGCAAGTACATCTGATCATCGTAGTTAATGAAAGTTCTGTTATAATTTTCCATTATACAAAGTGGATAATAATTTGGAGTCTGTTTATCAAAGAATTTTTTAAATAGTTTACCGAATAATGCTGTAGACTAGACCAACAGAGGACTTTTTATAACCTGCATTGTAGCATGTGTGAAATACACAGAAATCTATATAAGTATTAAGTAGGTGCTTCAATGTCAAACATTGTAAATGAAGGCATTTTTTATACAAATCATTCTAGAAATAATTTTTAATATTATGCTGCCTTACCTTAAGCTTTTAAAAGAATTTTAATACTCAAAGTATTTTTTACCCCTAGCTGTAGCGAACAACAATTTTTTATATTTCAATGTCAGCAACTTCTTTTACCAGTTATATATTTTTAGATGTCTTCACAATTTGAGTGTTTGCTTATTTATTACTTTGATAGTAAGTTTGCTAGTCAATTTTTTTCTGACTAGAGAAGAAAAAAATCCCTGTTAGTTTAAACTGTGGATCAGTGTAGTAGCATTTCTAGTTCCATGTTAACTTCTAATCAAAGGTTTTGAGAAAATCACCTTTTATACAAAACTAAATAATTTTCTATACTGGTACTAATTTGTACCATCTTGTACTTATTCTTAAGCATTATTGATAAGTCTTTTTGTACAAAACTAACAAAAGAAATATTTATATAGATATCAACTGTCTTCATCTACAATATGTTCAATCTACTTGTTTTAATAATTCCAATCAGAGTTTTACTTTGAACCAAATATCAATAAATTATCAGTTTTGTTTCCTTTTATCACATTTGAGAATTATAAATTCAGATTTCCTCCCAAATAGGAAGATATAATTACCTCCTATTTTGAAAGTTAAACATGAAATTATTTTCATTGTTTAAATATATTTGTCATCAGGGGAGATAACCTTTTTTTCCTGGCATTAGTAGATGTAATGGAAATCACTGACGATCTTGGAATATAAATGTAAGATGAGGTTGCTCAGGATAGATATTCTTATGATCACAGCCAGAGGAGAATCCGTGTGTGACATATCAATGACTACATTGTCACCTTTACCAGACATGATGAGTGTGATGGACATTTACACATTGAAACGTCACACACAATTTCCTTACTGGTTGTTATATAAGAAAGTAAATGTGGAACAGTAAATCACTGGTATGACTTTTCAAACGTGACTTTTATTAAATTATGTAACTGATGTTTTGATTTTTAATCTGTTGGTATAAATGATATCTTACTTGAGATTCAGTGTTTGAAAATGAAGTGAATGATTTCTCAGTAACCTGATCATGGCATACCATCGAAAAGTAGCATCTTTTAATTTCATTTCCAGTAAGCTAAAACCAAAATGCTCACAAAACATCGCAAACTGAATATCCATATGTTTATGTTTGGATTTATGAATGTTAGTTTTTTTCTGGATTGAAATCTTTTTTTAGAACAATTTCATCTTGAGTTTCAGATTAATGTAAATATTTCATTGTTTTTTTCTGTTTTCATATTTCCGTTTAAGGAAAAGTTGGAAACATGAAAAAGAACATGTGATATCCTTGACTCTTTTTTTTTTCTTGACTTTCTGAAATGCTCTAGAGAACTCTCCAAGTAACACTACATGAAATATTTTTTTTCATCAGTTTTATTAATTTGTTAGATGAACCTTGACTGTCTTAACATCTAAGTAAATAGTTGCTGAAAGGAAGTAATTTCAAAATATCAAAACCTACTTAATATATATGGTAAAAACATGTGGAATGGTGGGATACTTTTTAATTCAGCACATTTGTGTGGAATGGTGGGATACTTTTTAATTCAGCACATTTGTGGGTTCTGTTGAATCATCATAACTCATCAATTTTCATTCAATTCCAATATCATTTTTTCATTATGTGTTAATCGAGTAATTCTAGTTTAAAAACTGATTTTGAGTAATTGAGACAATTGAATGATAGTGTGTAATTTATTTATTTTGGGTGAATAATGAATTACTTCCCTTTTCATGAAATCATGGTCACAACATTGTACTGTGTTCAGTGTTATTTTAACTGGTACAGTAGAAGTACAATCTGATCCCTCGCTGAATTTTATCTGTATATAACAAGAATATATTCATAACTGAAATTGTATTTTCATAAAATTGAACTGTAAATGTAAAAAGCAGTGCTTGTATCAGATGTGTTGTATCTCTGTATCATAAGTGCTATTTAACATATTTTTTACCTGTACATACAACAACACCTGTAGACCTTTATCAGCAAACAATACAAGAAGCTGAACTTCGAAATCATTGATTTAGACATAAGTATTGTGTTGTTAGATCTCCACTGAAAAAACTCTGCTAGTAACATCATTTTAAGAGCAAATTTAGTATGTATTTACTAAAAGACTCTTTCTGACAATATAACTCTCTATAACTGTTAACAGAATTACCAAAAATTTTCTTCGTTGCCCTGTAATAAGCCCATCCTTGGACTTGTGAGTCGGGTTTAATATGTGGGCCGGTTGGGCTTATTTTCATAGGTACATGTGAACATGAGTATAATTTTCTCTGTGAAATATGCATAATTTCAACAGCACAGGAAAAAAGCAACTTGCATAGTAGCCTTAAAATTGTATAAAAGTGTAATTGATAAAGAATCTATTTTTTCTCAACCAACTCGAGTGAGGAAACCCTGGTTCTGTGTCAGACATAACAAAATCTTTCTGATGTGTACATATAAAAGGTTTTTTACAGCAGCCAATGATTTGTGTAATGAAATGCGTTGGTTGGGATTTTTGTATCAAGACTTGATTAATGGCTACCAAAGGAGTTACAATTTGAAATGGTGCATATGATTTACTTTTCTCTTACTGACCATATTTTATGAAAAAAAATTTCATTCCTGTCCACAAGTACCTGTGGTATTGTAACTTCATTAAGTGTTGAGAGTGCTGGGAAGCTACAGGTGTTGTTGTGTGTGTAGCATGATGTGTCCTTCAACAGGATTCCATGTAAATAATGTAGACATTTTTATATATGCAAATTTATGTACATAGCTCTTGTTTAAAAACTGGTATGCAAACAATGAATTGTCATTTTGACACACATGGTGTACGAGGTATACAATATTTGTCTAATCGAAGCAGTCCTCTATCTTATTCATAAATTGTAGACTACACGCAGGTCCTTAGTTTTGTACTGATTTTTTAATTGATCATTTTAGTGCAGTTTTGCTTGTTGTGTTTCTTACACAAAGATCAAATATAATTGCATTTGATATCTTGAAAAACATTACTTTTTTTTCATATTTCATGGATCCAAAATGTCGAAAGTCATCAAGCACATGTGATACTTTGCAAATATGTAAATCAGAATTGAATCATTCATGTTAAATGGAAAACAATCTGAACAGCTACCTTGCTTCGTAATGTATTCAAGTGACACCAAGAAAGAGTGATGTTAATTCCATTCTCCATTCTTTGAGAGAATTCAAAATATATTTTTTGTGCAATTGTATATAATTTCTGATGTATATTTCTCTCAGAAATCTTAGCTGTGCGGTTTTTTTAATATTTTTTTTTTCAAATTTTCTTCCTTGAGTTTTCTAGATATCTCGGTAAAATGCCCATGTGACGTTCTGTTTTACTGATGAAATACTGGAAAACTGTGAAAACAAAAAAGCATTCCTTCTCAGATTATTTCTTACTTCTAATTGGAATAGGCTATAGGTTTGATAGATGTGTCAGATTTTGTAGAATTTACAACATGAAGAATTACAGTTAACAACATTGTACAGATGATGACTCATGAAAATTGTGAAAATCGTAATTAATTTGGTTTCTGTTTTCAAATTTTGAAATATCTTGTTAATTTAGAAATTTTCTGAGCTTGAATTTATATAGATAAAAAAATATCATGAATTCAATTTCAAATTCTTGTGTGGAATTTTGTTTACATTCATGATTAGTAATGTCATAATTAAATTTTCTTCATAATATTTTGATAATTATCTTTCAATATGAATCAAACCTAAATTTTGAAAAAATCAATGATTTTTTTAACTTCTACCAATGTTGTGTATAAT